AGATAGATAGATAGATAGATAGATAGATAGATAGATAGATAGATAGATAGATAGATAGATAGATAGATAGATAGATAGATATGATAGATAGATAGGTATATTCAAAAAATCAGGGACAAATTGGTAAAGAGAAGCATATGCAGTTAAACATACACACCAATATGATTCAGCAGCCTAAACTTCAGCACAATGAAAAGAAGATGAAACAGAAAGACTTACAAAAAGCAATTTAATAATAAGAATAATAATAACTGAAAATTAGGGGAATTAAAGCAAATCCAGTGCAGACAAGCGACTGTGGGTAAAAAACACAGAGACAGTCTAACCTGGCTGCAAAGATCCAGAAAGGTTGAACAAACCCTCAGTCAGCCAACAGATCAGCCACATGAAACACACAAGAACCGAGGGAAGGACCAGCAGTCCCCCAGCAACTCGGTTACTGGAGCTGATAATGAAGGTAAAAATGCAACATAAGGAATAATAAAGACATAATAAATAACAATAACTAGAAACCTCTTAGGTAACATTGATCACATGCTGAAGCTTGTCAAACCTTCCAGGGCCTCAGGACACACATGCAGGAACCCGCATGATCAGACCTGAGTCCGGGTCAGAACCGAGGCTCTAACGCCAAAAGAGAAGCGCAACAAATGTGCCAATTATCGTTAGGTCTGCAGCAACGAGCAAAGACACACGCACACTCACACACACTAATACAGCCCGCACGGACACTCACCCCCCCACTCACCGTGCGCTGTGGTGTGAGCAGCCAGCAGCCAGCAGAGCAGCAGGTACAGTCTTCCTGTTCTCCTCCTCCTCAGCACCAGCAGCTCCCAAACATCACCGTTACATCCAACCAAAACCCCCTCCATGCTGTCCTGCTCCAGTCCCGATGAGTCCGTGGAAGCACAGAAACGCACACACACACACAATCCCGCTGTTCTTTCAGTATTTTTTGTTTTTGTTTTCAAATCTTCAACAGAATCCAACTGTCAATTAGGAAAATAAAAAATAAAGGAGAAAAAACCCACAGAGTGGTGAGTCAGGAGGATGGTGAGGAGAGAGAAAGAGAGGGGGTAAAACAGCTTCTCTTTTCCCCAAAATATCCCTGATCCCCAGTCGGGCTAGGATCCCCCAAAGAAAAGAAAAAGGGAAAGGAATTTCCAAAATACACAAATGCAGATCAGTTTCCTCCTTTTAGAGTCGAGAATAAGTTCCAGTAACTACAAGTGAAGAGTCTCCATCACTCCTGCACGCTGCTGCTTCTTCCCATTCAAACAGATGAGAGGATGGTTAAAATCCGCGCTGCCTTCCCGGAGGTCTGCTCCGTCTGCTGGGGAGAACTGATGGAGAGGGTCGGAAGAGGAGGGGGGAGGCGGAGGGGGGAGGGAAAGAGTCGAACCCCCTCTCTCTCTCTCTTTTCTCTGTAGGGCTATACAGCTGGAGAGAGAGAGGGTCGAGAGACCCTGTTGGAGTATGGAGCCATTGATCTAAAGAGGCTGGAGGTAAACCTCGGAGCGGGAGTAGAATCAGGGAGCGGGACGGAGCGGGACGGAGCGGGAGTTGGAACCCGGCAGAGGAGGCAGAACGGCGGGGAGAGATTAGCTGAACTCTCCTGCCCTCTCTGGTCACACAGGGAATATAAACATCAGTCACAGCTGGAAGAGAGTCTCCATCACATCACAGGTGTGCAATACGATAAATATAAAATCATAATATGCAGATTATTATTATTATTATTATTATTATTATTATTATTATTATTATTATTATTAT